TCTTCTCTGCACTCTTTCTAAAGTCTCAACATCTTTTTTAAATCATAGTGGCTAAAACTGGATGCAATATTCCAAGTGTGGTCTTAGCAAGGCATTATAACATTTCAAAATATTGCTACAGAGACTTCCCCAAATTAGAAACTTATTGAAGATACCTGAGATTAGATTCTATATCAGTGTTTTTCAACCTTAACATGTGTGGACTTCAACTCCCAGAATTCTTTGACAAGCATGTTTACCAGTCCACACATCTTAATGAAAAGCACTGTTCTATATGGATAGAAGGAGGGCAACCTTCTCTTTTGTTCTGATTTATATGGGTAAAATTACAGGGTATAATTTGCTCTCTCGAAACCAAGTTTCATGACTGAGTCATCAGATCCTTAACTTAGGAGGCAATGAAAGTAAGGAATCATACCTGAATGCTTTGAAAGTTGTATACTTATAATTAAGATGAATGTTTCACCTAAAATGTTATTTTTATTCCAGATGTTACCAATACAGATGATAGATATTTCATTTAAGGAATGGCAAAAAGATATAGCAAGGGAAAAAAAAGAGAATATAAATTGTTGCAGGATGCTAAAGAAGAGGGACTGACCAGACTTAAAATTATATTTTGAAGTTTGTTGCATGGTTTGGATGAAGGGAATAAGATATTTTGAAGAATAAGAGGTTAATAGATTTGGAGGGCTATGATTTGATTGGCATGACTATTCGTGATATGATAAAGCTAAAGCGAATATAATTTTTAGGTATCTTTTTTAGCCATGCATTCTAAGAGTTTGGATTAAATATAAAACAGGGCTTTCTTAAGTTTCTTAAAGTTGAAAGAAGAATTGAAGTTGGAAGGACATATGTGTCATTGGTTCACATTTTTACAATTAAAAGATTTAACTTACATAAGAAAAGTCACGGTTTTGAGTATAAACAAATGAATTTGAAATCACATTGTGTGCTAATGAAGAACATACATTTGCTAAGATTTATAGACTGTTGTAAAAACTGAATTTTGAAAATGAGTATGTTAAAGACTGTATTGTCCAATGGGCAAAGAATTGTGGTTGTAATGATTGACCAATGGGAAAACATGTGGACTAATGGATTGAAATTCACACTGAATTATAATCTGAAAGAAAACTTTTATAAGATGCTGTATCATTGGTATTTAGTGCCTATGAAATTGTCAAACATGCATGAATTTCCTTTTCTTATTTTTCTAACTTTTGTTTCTTTTATATATTTTTATTATAATGAAACATAATAAAAATTTAAAAAAAAGAATACTTATTGAAAAAAGATTACAAAGTATGGCAGTCATACTGGAATACTGATGCAATAGAAGCAAGGAGGCAAGAAGGTCTCGATTCTGTAGCTAGGCACACGTGCAATGTTAAGTTACTGTAGATGTTGGTTGGCTTTGACTTACATGTTGTATGAGCCAGCTAATTGTAGTTTATTTAGTAAACTAAAGTTCAATAAGCCATTGTTTGATATTATCTATAAATCCAGTCTTTACTGAAATTTTAATCATGCTTCATTGAAGTCCGTGGAGTCGTCACAGTTTGAAATGACTACTTAAGTTACTATACATGATTTTAAGAAACAATCCTGCTATAAAACAGAATACTGAATACTTACTATTGCATTTCAACTGGAATATGTTCCTTTAGAGAAGGGGTGTCAAACTGGTGGCCTGCGGGCCGGATACGTCATGTGCAGGCCATGCCCACCCCAGCTCTGCAAAGGCAAAAAACGTTGTGATACGTCGCGATACGTCACATGACACGATCGAGTTTGACACTCGTGCTTTAGAGTATCTCTAATGAGCTTAGAAGAAACACAGTATACTGAACCTGAAGAGGAACAGTGAAATATCATTTAGCCTTGGGTTGACATGACTTTTTGCAGCAGCTCTTTAATGGTTGGTTTCGCACTCTGCGTAAAGCCTAAGTAAACTAGAGTTGGTTGGACTCATATTATATGCTAACCCACAAACCTGGTGTATAAACTGGAACATCTGCTTCATATATGTATCTATTAATTAGTAGGATTTACAGATTGCTACAGTTAGAATTGACTCTGATATTAATTCCAAGCCAAACAAATTGCATTATAATTACCACGATGTATGAAGCGCTTTGGAAGAAAGGATCTGCTATAGCTGGAAAAAAATGCCTTACAAGCTCTTCCTTCCCAATGACACACCAGATGATACTGATGCAGTTGTGCAGGTAACAACACAAATGTATAGTCCAGTTGTATGTGAATGAAAGAGAATGAGTAAATGAAAAGATAGGAGACAAAAGAGAGCAACAGATATCCATAGATGGGAGAGGTTTTCTTGGAACTGGCTGGAGTGACACATTGAAGTTTCTTATCAAGAGAGCTAGAAGTTTTCCTTTTGAGTTTCAGAGCTACAACAGTTACGTGTGTGCTGAAGATTTCAACAACTGCATCAAATAAAGATATAACAGTAGTAAGGGCACAAAAGGTCCAACCAGGACGAAGAATACTCCAACAGCAAAGGAAGTCTCGTTAATGGACTTGGTGTGGTTAGCCAGAAGCCGTCCAATAGGAGAAACCTAGGGAAAAATTTTAGTAGGTAAGTAAGTCAATCAATCACAAAGCTACTGTGTGGGAATTGTGTGGCCTACTAAGAGACCCCTGTAGCAAGATATCCAGTGGCAATTGCCTATTGAAGAAGCCATGGTGGTAGTGATTCTTTATTCCTGTGGCTCCTTGTAACTGGAATAAAAGCAACTTATCTAACTGAGCCTTTACCTTGATTCTTTGTGTTGCTAGCTTTAGAACACAGGTTTGAGTTTCCAGAAATAGATTTATTGCTAAATCCTAGGTAAACCTATAAGAGATTGAGACTTAATTTTCATAAGATCCTGAAAAAGTATATCCCAACAGATTTTGGAGTGCCATCAAGGACATAGATAATTTTCCTAATAAAAGGGAACCAGCCACAGATCAATTTACTATACATATTCAGCAACAATCTGTCATGAGGAGTGTGCAGGGAGGAAGACAAGCTGACATATGACATAATGACCATCAATTATTTAAAATGGTGAAACCTAGAGAAGACAATGAATCATTAAATAATCTTTTAGCAGCCAAGACAATTTAGAATATCAGATGTCTTTTTCAAAGACATCAAAGGACTGAAAGCAATATAGAAAAAGACAAAAGGTAGACAATTAAAAGTTTTAACATCTTTCCTAAAAAGAAAGAAATTTTGTTTATTGAGAAAAAGACTTATAGCAGTGGTGGCGAACCTATAGCACGGGTGCCAGAGGCGGCACTCAGAGCCCTCTCTGTGGGCACGCACACTGTCGCCCCAGTCCTAGGCCTTCAGCTGGGTTTTATAAAACCTTTTCGCTTTTGGCCTCCGCCGCCGTGTGCAAAAAAAAAAAAAGGTTCAATCAATCAGCCAATTTCAACTTCTCGCGGGGAAAAAAAAGATCTTGCAAAGTTGGAATTGATTGATTGAACTTTTTAGTCCCACCCAGTCTGTCGTTACTACTGCAGCCACACCCACCCAATGGGCCACACCCACCCAATGGGCCACACCCACCCGGCACTCAACGATGCATAAGTGGGTTTTGGGTTGCAGTTTGGGCACTCGGTCTCTAAAAGGTTCGCCATCACTGACTTATAGAAATTATTACAAATATTTTTTTACCTGTATTGCAAGATATTTTAAACATATAAAAATTCTTCATCAGCTTTATAGGACACTTTTTATAGAAAACTCTTGCCTTTCTATAGTATTTTGGTTCTCATGCTTAATTCTAGATGGTTGACCTAAGATGATCCTTTTTTTTTTACAAAACTTTTGTAAATCTTTTGGTGGGGATGGGAAACATATTTGTGTTTGTTCTTTTATTTTTCATTTGCAGATATCACATGTTATTTTAATTTGCATATTTGAGTTAAATATGTGATCAATTCTAATACTAGAATTCAAATTGACGTATTAAAAATCAGTTTTAGTCACATTTTTAGAATTTGCCATCAAAAGATACAGTGATAGGAACTACCCAATGAAATGACATGGATATATCTGACATTTCCAGGAACTGTGTATGTTATACGGTTTTTAAAAGTGACTTTCAAAAGAGCTGCAAGGAGGAGATATAGCATTTATTAATACATATGAAAAATTTTATACCTGTTTTTAAAAAGTATGGTGGCCTACAGTAAAAGACTTGTGAGTGAAATTTCTGTATTCAGGAGCAGTGTATTCTGCCTAATTATACTATTTGTCACCTGGAAGTATTAACTACCTGACCTTAGATTATAATGCCATCTGGGCATTGTAGGACTATTTTGTAAGCATCTGCTTCCAATTTTAATCATACATTTACTTTTCAGGAAACCAAAATGGATTAAAGCAATGCCAAGTAAAAGTAGTAGCACCAGTTGACTCAAATCAAGTTTGGAACCTCCAAGGCAAAATTGTATGAAGCATCTTGGCATTAGGGTGGGGGTGAGGGGTAGCATACAGGTTAGACCAGTTACACTAGCTTGTTCCCATGGAAAATGCCTGGAGAGGTTTTTTCTTTTTCTTTTTAAAGGAACAGTAGTTTCAAACAATCTGAGAAGGCTTTCCAATTTGGGCCCTGTGAGGTATTTTCCAATATCATACGTCTAATTCAGGGTGTCCTGCAGTCTCTCAATATCATGGAATTTGGTTCAAGTATTCTCAGTGATAATTCCACAAGAGAGAAGGCAAAGGAAGGGAGCAACGATTTCTTGAGCGAATGAAGAAACAAGACAGAAACTTTAAGGGCGCCCAAAGGAACTCTTACTATATGAATGCTATTCCTAACAGTCAAGGCACTCTGCTACCGAACCGAGCGCTTCCGTTTCATTTAATTCTCCCCCGCTCTTTGCCATTTACTCCCTTTTCCCGTCCACACCCCTTGGAAGCTCGGCCCTCCTTCTCCTCCCTAGGCGACCTGAAGGGGCGGATCCAGTAGCCGCAGTACCTGGGCCAGGTGAGCGAGCTGTATTGCACAGCTAGGGTGGGAACCTGGTCGAAGAGCGGTAAGTTTTGCGGGAGCTGGGGGAAACTCGGCGGGGAAGCCCTTGAAGCCCGGGTCGCTGTAGGTTCCTCTTTGCAATCCAAATAACACTTCCGCTCCTGAACTGCTGGAGGTTCGGGCTCTTACGAGCCTTTTCTCCCCGCGTGTTTTTTACTCGCGCCCCTTTCTCGCCTTACGCTCTTCTCCCCCTCCCCGGACGGTTAGCTTTCCCCAATTCTTCCCTTCCCAGCTAAGCACCTCGCTTGGGCTCTCTCATGTTCATTTTGCGCTTGAGTAGTTCCGCTCGTCCTTGTCCTCTCGTTTTCTGAAGGAAAAGTCTGACGTCGCGTCTCCCTTAGGATCCTGCTACAAAAGACTTCCTACGTTGCCCCTCTGCCTTTTGGGTTCGTGGGAAAACCCGAGAAGAGCGTTTTTCCTAAAAGAGGCCTCTGCCCGAGGGCAATTTCAGCGAGTTCTTGCCCAGGTTTGACTGCGGGCTTGTTCGACACTTGTCGATTATTTACTTCTGGATGTAAACACTCTCCAATCTTTCAAAGCAGCGGAGAGCAGGTACAACTGTGGCCCGGCGTTGATCCTAGCGTATTTCCTTAGAAGTTCAAATTCGGTTGAGAGAACATCAAAATCTTCCTTAATTTGCAAATTATCTGCATATGGTGATTTAGCAGTGGATTAAACATCTTAGTTATTTGATCATAGTGAAATGAAGTACCTAGGGTGGATTTATTCAGCCTAATATTCCCCCAGAGAAGGTGTACATGTGATATTGTGACATATTGTAGGCCATATACTTGGGGAAAACCTATCCACAATATTCATTAAAATTGAGACCTAGAAGAATCCCAATCTCAACCAAGTTGATGTACAATTATATTTAAGCAAACCTTAATATGAAATGAAAAGGTTGAGTAAATGCATGGTGATGACTGCCTTAAGTACACAAACCAGTTTTAAAAATGAGATCAGATCTTTGAAACATTTCCTACAAAGCAATACAAAAGCTGTAACCTTTTATATTTTAAGCATCTTTCTAGAACAGCATCACTACTCTTGGTAGTGTTTTACTAGTTTGGGTATCTGAAATTAAAATCTGAAATCAATATGTATGTAGAACTTTTTTTTTTTAAAAAAAATACAGTATTATACACCATGTATGTTTGTATATAAGTAATGCATAGAGATGCGGATTATTATTGCAGATGAATTCATAGATAACATATATCAACAAAGGCTTGTGGGTTTGTTGTTTTTGCTGACCTTGTGAACAAGGTTGTGATAGTCTTCTCTCACAGATCTCACAGTTGCTGAATTTTATGCCTGCTGCTTCAAGGATTTTATCTTTATCAAGGTGAAGAGCAATAGTAAATTATTGATATCTTGTTGCCTACACTATTTGTAAATGTTAGTGTTTTCATAATGCAGTGTAAAAATAGTGTTAGAATAAGATTTCGAGCCTGAGCTTCAAGAATCGGGAATCTTAGTGTATTACATTTTAATTTGGCCAATACCATTGTACTCTATGTCTATGGCTATTTGAAAGTCTACCTAGATAACTTTCATTTCTTCTGTAAAGCCAGAAAGGAAAACAAGATAAAAGGAAAACAAGTTCTGTTGCGTAAGATCTATGCTGTAATTTTTCTGGAGATCAGTCATAGAAATGATATCAGAGCAGTTGTGATGGAAGAGGTGGGAATTCTGTCTAATTTTTCCTAATTTGGTTGTGTCTGTACTAGGCTGAAAAGTTGACGCTGGCGTGTTTTGCATATTTGCTTATCGTACTTCCTTTACTCTCTTGAGGAAGTTTTCCTTTTTTTAATTTAAAGGGCAGAGCTATGGATTAGTAAAGATAAATGTACTATTACATATATGTAGCTATTATATATTACATTTCAATGTAATAGTAGAAATCCTCTTTTAATATAAAAACAATTTGTATTACAGGTTTTACAAGAAGTGAAATATAGTCTAATATTAATGAAGGGGATTATAGATATTAATGTGAAAGTTACATTCAGTATTTATTTCCATTCTGCTTATCAGTATTGCTTTAGTTTTTCTTATCTTGTGTATATTTTTAAAGATGGGTATTTCAGGTATTTGTTTCTTTTATCCAGCTTTTATTGCTTCTCATGCTGACATCTGCATATGGAACTTAGAATAATCATTCTGTGTATAGCCATGTCATATTTATTGATTGAATCTAAACTTTTCTAATTTTGCTTTAATAAAGCAAGGTTATAGTCAGAAACCATAAACAGTTTGAAATGCATAGGTTTTATTTTCTTCACCATATTTTCTTGTTCTTCCTAACTTGTTCCTTCCAGTTCTTAACTTCATCCCATCTTTGCAGTATTATGTGCCTGTGTGCTGATTTTTAATGTCATTCTTGATATAGGTTCAAAACCTCTACTGTGCCTAGACTAAACACAGCTACATTCCAAAACCTGATTTTTAAACTGCAGTTGTTGAATAATCCATAATAATTGCAGTTAAATACTCTATTGTGATGTAGTACAGTGTGAAAACAGCAATATAGGATGGCTGAATCACAAGAACAATATATGACAGAAACTTTCAAATGCCTGACTTCTTTTCAACACAAACTGCTTCAAAAGAAGGAAAAAATACGAGAAACAACCCTAGTAAACTAGCTTGGTTTTTAAATACTATTTAACCTGGGGAAGAGTATACTGTATCTGGTTATACTCTAGAGTGATGCATATTGTTGAATTACATCATTGTACTGTCTTATGCTTATATGAAGGAGACCTGGAAACAGGACCACATAATTGATATACCTATGATTTCATAATATGTCATGAAATCTTTTTATACATCTTTAAATACTGCAAACTGGATGGCAGCACTTTCCTAATCTTTAAAAAAACTTTAAAAAACTACACAGGGTCAGACATGGTTAGTATTTGGCAAAGACCACCAGGAATTTCCAGGTTAGATTGGAAAGATTAAACAAAACCCTCCCAGATGAATGCAAACCACATCTTTACTGCTGCCAAGAAACATACATTGGTGTGCCCTAGTCCATTAGGTGTTGAATACAATTCAGAGGAGACTTTAGTTAAGGCTCTGGAAACTGAATACTTTGAAGGTCAAAGAAGCAAGCAGGCATGTACAACATAATCATTGTGTGCAGAATTCTATGTCTAAGTTATGGTCTGAGACACATGTATTATTCTGCAGGGTTTTTGCTTTTAAAAGCAAAGATTAAAAGTGTTTTGTGCAAATCCCTCTCCTTTTCTAGATAGCTGTAATCCATTGCTAACTATTTGGTTCCAGAGATTCTTAACCAAAAATGCTCTCAAATTTCCAAGAAATGTCAAATAATCTCAAAATGTGTGCAGATATGTTTTATTTGATTAAAAGAGAAATTCATAGCAGGAAAACAAGATTCCTCTTTCTTTCCAAAAAGAATGGCTAATGTGATCCAGAAACTTCAAATGCTTTCCATGCAGCTATCAATAGGACAAAGCTCAGCCCCATTTCCCTTTAAGCAATTTTGGCTGGTTTTTACATTCTTGATTTCAAAGGAAAGGGGAAAGAGCCTTTAATCCATACATTAGATTAGTTGAATGATCCGTTTTTAGATTAAGTGCACAGAAGTATTGCTACATTATTATTGCCTTATTGAACAACTGTAGAGTTTGTTGGTGTTAGTTGCGAAGTCGTGTCTGACCCATCGCGATCCCATGGACAACTTTCCTCCAGGCCTTCCTGTCCTCTACCATCTTCTGGAGTCCATTTAAGATCACACCTACTGCTTCAGTGATTCCATCCAGCCACCTCATTCTCTGTCATCCCCTTCTTCTATTGCCCTCAATCTTTCAACTGTAGAGTAGCATTCTTCAATTTGACAAACCTCAGATATATGTTGGATCAGAAATCTTAAGCATGGCTATAGTGGTCCATAGTAAGAACTGTTGTCCATTAAGGGAAAAGAAGACTAGAAAATACATTTGCTGAAGCATTTCTTTTTGCTATGTTGGTTATTATATGTATAGTTCTGATAAAAGGCATATATGTTGCTTGAAACCTGTTTTAAGGTCGAGGCCATTGATAGCAAAAACTGTAAAAAGGAAGAGGTCACCAGTGTCTGAGTTTTCAACACACATACTGTATACCCTCGATATTTGCTATAGATACAGTCAGTGATAACACATGGTGGGATAAGTATCCTAATTTTCTGGGATTGCTAATGTTTGACTGTGCTATGCTGTTGATGCATTGTTGTAGAGAAAATATTTGGTGAACTGTTATATCCTGTATTGGTCAGGTTGGTTATTCAGTTCTGGACACCATGCTTTTAAAAAAAAGATTTAGATAAACAGACAGATTCCAAAAGAATATTTTTTTTAACAATTAGAACCAATTACTTGTTTGTGTCAATATCTTAATTTGGATTCTTGCATAGAACAGGAGGTTGGTGACTCTTTGATCTTTTGTTATATTAGACTTAAAAAATAGTTATGAAAAAAATGACATTTGCAGCAATGATACCCACAGATTTGGGTTAAATTGGGATTGGGAAGGAATAGCTTTACAGAAAGAAATTGTGTGCATAAATATATGAGCCTGATTTGCATACCATATACAGATTATTAGATATGAGCCGCAACCATTCTGATTGGATGCATTTTTCTTTTGGCCTTCTGTATTTTTTATTTATACTCTTTATTTATACTCTTTATTATGCTCTTTATTTATACCTTTGCATTGTTTAGCACTCTAACATGCCTTGTTCTCTACTGCTTTCACATTGTGGTGTATATGCCAATGTAAAGAAGTTATGAAATGATCTATAAGAACAAAAACCAGTGACCTATTTCAATATAACATTTAATTTTCATGATGGCCATACAAATGGCTTCGAAAACCTACAAGTGGATATGGAGTACATTAGTACTCTCTGCTTACGTTCTCCAACAGTTGATATTCTGAATATACCACCTTTGAAATCAAATAGGATATAGTTACCATAATTGCTAGCTCTGACAGTCTGATGAAATGATCCATGAAAAAAGTGCAAAATCTGTTTCAGCAAAGATAAGTGTGGTATTGTTAATATGGCCATGTCTGGTTATGTTCTTCAAGAAGGAAAAGAGAATACAGTATGTGCTTGTCAGTGGATGTACTGTTTTGTAATTTCTTCTGTAGTTGTTTTCTGCAGTCCAATTATCTGCAATATTTGAGGTTTTGAATTTGTTGCCTGCATAGGATTTGGGAACTCACAAAAAAGCAGTTAAATGTGTACCAGCAAACCTTTGGCTACTCTCTCTACATTGTTTGTTTATTTATTTTTTTAATCTCATTCTCCTTAGTATTGTACAGGCTACTTTACCCTATAGATGTGCCTTAAATTACAACTCTTAGTGACCCTAGCCAACTGTTCTGATACAGTACCTAGCAATGAGGATGTACAACAAACACATTTCTATGTTATTGTATTCTATTTCTATTCTATTTCTATTATGTTATTAAAGTAAATTGCACAGAATGGATGAAAAACTTGGTACACTGATATATTTGGGGAAGGGGGGGAGACTTTAATATGTATCCCAATGTTTAGATTTGATCTTGGAATCATTGTATTGGAAATACTTATAAAGGTCACCTAATCCAAGTCCCTACTCAATACATTACAATAGCAATGTTAGCAACTTTAAGAAGTTGAAGTCTACGCATTTTAAAATTGCAGAGGTTGAGAATTGCACTAGGGCATCTATGACTATTAACTTCTGTTTGAAGGAGAACTCATCCCAACATGTGTCTGCCCGACTAGCTGATGGTTTGTTCAGTGAGGAAATCCTCCACATTCCTAGCCTGAACCTTCTTGTAATTGTAATCTGTTGGTTCTGATCCTGCTGTCTCAAGTCCAATGCTGCCTCTGTAGGATCAGCTATTTAAAGGTGCTATCATATCATCTTTTAGCCATATTTTTAAAAACTAAACATATTTGGAACTTATACATATTATTCCTCATATAGCCTTGTTTCCAGATCCTTCACCATCTTGGTAGCCCTCTTCTGAATTTGATTTAAATTATCATTGTCCTTTCTGAACTGTGGTGGCCAGAACTGGACCAAATACTTTAAATACGGTCTGACCAGGACAGAATAGAATTGTATTATGTCCATAATATGGACTCTATGCTTCTGTTAATGTATTGCGAGATTGTTTGACTTTTTAGATACTGCATCATACTGTTAATGTTTGATTGCACACAGATCCATTTCACATGTAGTACAAACCATGCTTTCCTCTATTGCTTCCATTCATCTCTTATATTTTCCAAATTGTATTTTTCTCTGTTACATCTCATCTTATTTGGGTCAACATTGCTCAAGTGTGTCTAGTTTGTCAAGTCTGATCTTTTTAAAAATCCTTTTTTATCTAAAATATTAGACAACCTCATAATTTTAAGTTTTTCCTGTATGCCCTCATGTAATATTTGATAAATATGTTGTACAATATATAACCTAGACCACAAAGCCATGGAATACAATCTCCCCTCTAACCTGAAGTCAAGCCATTAAGGAGTACAGTCAACTGTGTATCTCATTATATTATCATGTATCATCTTTTTACCTTTTCATGAAAGAGAATATTATGAGATATTTTGTTGAATGTTTTGCTGAGGTTCAGGTATGTCTATGATATTTTCTTTCATCTACTTAATTTTTCTTATTCACTTTGATCTAGTAGTTATTCTTTCAAAGAAGGAGATAAGTTAGTTTAGCACAATTTACTTGCAACAAACCTACACTGGTTCCTTTTGCCTAAGTGTTCACATATATAATTCTGGTCAGAGGCTTTGCCTAATATATATGTCAAGCTGACAGGTCTATGGTTTCCTGGTTTTTCTTCCTTTCTCTTTTTGAAGACAAGGATAACATTTTCTCTCCTCCATCTTTCTGAGACTAAACTAATCCTCCAGGAGTTCTCAAAGATTATTGATAATGATTCTAGTTTCTTTAGTAACTTTGGATTTAGTGAAACTGGATCTGGAGATGTGAATTCATTTAAATTAGATGAATTCTCTCTTAATACTGTTTTTCCTAAACTAGTGTTCCCTTCTTTTCCCAGCAGAATAACCACGGTTATTTAGGGTTTCTTTCTGAGAGAAAGTAAATGCAAAATATGATTTAAAACGTTCTGTCTTCTCACCAGTCACTCATTGCTGTTTCACTGTTTCCTCCTTTTTATAGTAATTTTCTTAAAAATTGCAAATACAGAAATCAATGTCAAGTATGGGGAAATCAGGAAATTCAGGCAGTTCAAATGAATATAAAGTTTTATTACAAGCTCAAGCTCTCTACAAAAAGCTGAACTATTACCAGTCAAAGCAAATTGGCAGTAGATAAGAGTCAATAGAATTCAAGGAGGGCTGGATGAAGAACTCTTGTGGGTACAAAGGGATTTGAGACTGATAACATGTTTGATCTCTCCCTTGGGTTCACTTGATCATCTGCTACACTGAAACTAATAAAAACTAAAAGAATAAAAATAGAAGGTAAAGAAAATACAATAAAGAAAAGAAATATATAAACAACTTCCCCCTTCCCCCTTTATCACATGTATAAACAATTTTAGTAACTTATCACCTCTTAAAATATAAGAAATGTTCTGTTCTTCCCAAAGGTCATTTCTTATCATTAAACAAATCCTTAAAGCCTTGTCATTTCAATCTTGATGTCAGCAAAAGTCCATTAAACGTTACCAGAGATAACTTGTCTATTTTAATCTTGATCAAATAAACCAAAACTATATTTCTTCCTTTTACTTTTAACAACCTTGGTCGTTAGTTCCTTCAAGCCTAGCTTTGAAACCTAGATCTTGATTTCTTTTCATTTTATCTTTGTCCCTTGTTACAAAGTTCTTCAAAGCTTTAACAAGTCTCTTCTGTAAATCCAATATAGAAAAGTTATCCAGGTCACTCTTGG